ACCTGCATGTTACACTGCGTAAGCAAGAACAAGTGCACGAGCGTAAGGCGGCATAGGCGACCAGATTCGGGCCCAGTGCGCGACGGAAGCTTTGCCTGTTTCCGCAGTGCACAGAAGGCGTGGTGTCAGGTTTTCCTTTCCAACACCTGTCATGAACTTTTTGGGCCCCGCTTTTTCGGGGTAGGCGTTGGCCGGATTGTTGCTCGAGGTGTTCCAAAGGTTGCCAAGTGCAGAGTGCCGCACGCGCATAAGTGCACAAGGACGGCAGCGGGTGATGCCCCGTTGTGTTGCGCGTGGCCTGCCACTGGCTGTGCCCGAACGACGAAGCAGAGGAATTCACAGGCCAAACGCATCCCTGCAAGGCATGTTAGCCGGCAACGCGAGCAGCCAGGGGAGCTTGACGGTGTAAACATACCAGGCGCAACTTGATAGCCTCTGTCTACACGTGACCCCACGTCTTGGCTGGTGGGACATCCAGCCATTCTTGGCCCACTATTTTGTGGAGACTGTGTGTGCTTGAGCAGCAAGAGCCGAACAGCTGCAGCCATGCTCGGGCACAAGGCTTGAGCCTCGAGCATCGAAAGCGAGTAAGGCGGCGCGTGTGAGCACTGGAGTGCCCGCTTTTGGCGGCGCACTCAACCTGTTTCAAGTCCACCTGAGTGAATACGCAGTACCATGCAAAAAGGCCGGCGCCTCCAGAAGATGTTGCAGCGATGTCGCACCTGCCTTGCAACTCCGCATGTGGCACATGTAGTCATACAGGTCCTGCTCAGAAAACGCAAGAGGGGACTTAGATCGCACAGACATCCAGTTGTAAAACTTGATCAGCGATCCGGCCCAAGGCAGGTTCAGGTTCTTGCATTTTTTGCTGCAGGGCCCAGAACCAGTTTTCAAACGCGCCCGAATTCGCGGATGGTGTGAACGTATATATATATATATATATATATATATGTGCATAAGTCGCTTACCCGAACAGCGCCCGCCCATACGGCGATGCTCATGCGCGGCAGCCAGAACAGGCAGTTCCCGCTCGCGCAGCCAACTTTGCGCTGGATTGAACCTGACATATTTCCGTCAGCAGCAGTGGCAAAACATGTTCAGCTCCTCAGCTTGTTCGGCTTCGAGAGCAACTATAGCAGTAGCGTTTTGCTTCTTCTTTCCCCTTCCCGTGTGCTGAAGCCATCTGACTGAGCATGCTCGCGGAATCTTTGCACAACCCCGACTTGCAAGGGGCCTTGAAGTTTTAGCCGCAATCAACACGAGGCCCATGTGGTCGTGCCACATGACTCGCGCAGCGGCCAGACATGGGAAGCGCCCGTCTTGCGGTTGGGAGGTCTATACACAGAGACCGCGCTTTGCTATCTTCGAGCTGCCCTCCCTTGTCATTCTAGAGTATGGTGGGGACGTCTCTGTTTACGGGCTCCCACGGTGTGGCTGTTGCTCCGGCATGAAAAGCACTGGGCAACGGGGTGATCGCATACACGGGATGGAAAGGCGCCGGGCAGCGTCCCAAACCTGCATGTTAGTTTGCGTAAGCAAGAAGAAGTGCACCAGCGTAAGGCTGCATAAGCGACCAGATTCGGGCCCAGTGCGCGACGGAAGCTTTGCCGGTTTCCGCAGTGCGCAAAAGGCGTGGTGTCAAGTTGTCAAAAAACCTGTCATGAACTGCTTGGGCTTTCTTATTCGGGGTAGGCGTTGGCCCGATTACTGCTCGAGGTGTTCCAAAGTTTGCCAAGTTCAAAGTGTCGACGCGCATAAGTGCATAAGGACGGCAGGTGATGCCCCGTTGTGTTGTGCGTGGCCTGCCACTAGCTGTGCCCGAACGAAGCAGAGGAATTCACATGCCAAACGCATCCCTGCAAGGGCAGCGCGAGAAGGCAGGGGTGACACAGCGTTTTGGCTGGTGGGACATCCAACCCTTCTTGGCCCACGCTTGAGCAGCAAGAGCCGAACAGCTGCAGCCATGCTCGGGCACAATGGGGCATCGAAAGCGAGAAAAGCGGCGCGTGTGAGAACTGGAGTGCCCGCTTTTGGCGGCGCCCTCGGTGCAGGCTCAGGTTGTTGCATTTTTTTGCTGCAGGGCCCAGACCCAGTTTCAAACGCGCCCGAATTCGCGGATGGTGTGAACATATATGCGCAAATCGCTTACCCGAACAGCGCCTGCCCATACGGCGATGCTCATGCGCGGCAGCCAGAACAGGTGGCCCAAGAGGCAGTTCCCGCTCGCGCAGCCAACTTTGCGCTGGATTGAACCTGACACATTTCCGTCAGCAGCAGTGGCAAAACTTGCTCAGCTCCTCTCAGCTTGTTCGGCTTCGAGAGCAACTATGGTAGTAGCAATTTGTATCTTTTACCCCCTTCCCGTGTGCTGAATCCATCTGACTGAGCGTGCTCGCAGAATGTTCGTGCAAACCCAAATTGCAAGGGGCCTTGAAGTTTTAGCCGCAATCAACACGAGGCCCATGTGGTCGTGCCACATGACTCGCGCAGCGGCCAGATTTTGGGAAGTGCCCGTCTTGCGGTTGGAAGGTCTACACAGAGACCGCGCTTTGCTATCTTCGAGCTGTCCTCGCTGGTCATTCTAGAGTATGGTGGAGACGTCTCTGTTTACGGGCTCCCACAGTGTGGCTGTTGCTCTGGCATTTGAAGCACTGGGCAGCGGGGTGATGGCACACACGGGATGGAAACGTACTTGGGCAGGGTCCAAAACCTGCATGTTACTTTTGCGTAAGCAAGAAGAAGTGCACGAGCAAAAGGCGGCATAAGCTGATGGCCAAGGAAAAACCTGTCACATGTGGCGCGTTTGGAAAAACTCCACCCATTTAAGGTGGCGATACTTTGGTGGTGTAGACTAAATGATACGGCATAGCAAGCCATGACTCGTTTGGACATGGCTCACTTGTCTGAGTTGCGGGCAGGCGCTGTGACGCCTGCCGCCTCTTAGAGAGGCTGTTCTCATGTTCGCGCAACCTTGACTTGCAAGGGGCCTTGAAGTTTTAGCCGCAAGCAACACGAGGCCCATGTGGTCGTGCCACACTGTCTTGCGGTTGGGCGGTCTACACAGAGACCGCGCTTTGCTATCTTCGTGCTGTCCTCGCTGGTCATTCTAGAGTATGGTGGAGACGTCTCTGTTTACGGGCTCCCACGATGTGGCTGTTGCTGGGGCATTCAAATCACTGGGCAACGGGGTGATGGCATACACGGGATGGAAACAGACTTGGGCAGCGTCCAAAACCTGCATGCTACTTTGCGTAAGCAAGAAGAAGTGCACGAGCGTAAGGCGGCGTAAGCTGATGGCCAAGGAAAACCTGTCACATGTGGCGCGTTTGGAAAAACTCCACGCGTGTAAGTTTGCGATAGCCTGGTGGTGTAGACTAAATGATACGGCATAGCAAGCCATGACTCGTTTGGACATGCTTGCCTTGTCTGTGTCGCGGACAGGCGCTGTGAGGCCTGCCGCCTCTCCTGCCGCCTCTCAGACAGGCTGTTTTCATTTCGCGCAGCCCCGACTTGCAAGGGGCCTTAAAGTTTTTGCCGTCATCAACACGAAGCTCGCCCATGTGGTCGTGCCCCATGACCCGCGCAGCGACCAGATTCGGGCCCTCTGCGCGACGGAAGCTTTGCCTGTTTCCGAAGTGCGCAGAAGGCGTGGTGTCAGGTTTTCCAAAACCTGTCATGAACTGTTTGGGCTCGCTTATTCGGGGTAGGCGTTGGCCCGATTGCTGCTCGAGGTGTTCCAAAGTTTGCCAGTGTCGCACGCACATAAGTGCACAAGGACGGCAGCGGGTGATGCCCCGTTGTGTTGCGCGTGGCCTGCCACTGGCTGTGCCCGAACAAAGCAGAGGATCTCTGCAAGGCATATTCGCCAGCAACGCGAGAAGCCAGGGGAGCTTGACGGGGTAAACATACATAGCAGGTCAGGCACAACTTCATAGCCTCTGTCTACACATGACCCAGCGTCTTGGCTGGTGGGACATCCAACCATTCTTGGCCCACTACTCTTTGCTTGAACAGCAAGAGCCGAACAGCTGCAGCCATGCTCGGGCACAAGCCTAGACAGCGAGTAAGGCTGCGCGTGTGAGAAGTGGAGTGCCCGCTGTTGGCGGCGCACTCTAGGCAGGTTCAGGCTTGCATGTTTTGCTGCAGGGCCCAGACCCAGCTTTCAATCGCGCCCGAATTCGCGGCTTCGAGAGCAACTATTGTAGTAGCGTTTTGTTTCTTTTCCTTTTTCCCGTGTGCTGAATCCATCTGACTGAGCGTGGTCGCGGAATGTTCGCGCAACCCGGACTTGCCAAGGGCCTTGAAGTTTTAGCCGCAATTAACACGAGGCCCATGCGGTCGTGCAACATGACTCGCGCAGCGGCCAGATTTGGGAAGTGCCCGTCTTGCGGTTGGTAGGTCTACACAGAGACCGCGCTTTGCTATCTTCGTGCTGTCCTCGCTGGTCATTCTAGAGTATGGTGGAGACGTCTCTGTTTACGGGCTCCCACAGTGCGGCTGTGGCTCCGGCATTTAAAGCACTGGGCAACGGGGTGATGGCATACACGGGATGGAAACGTACTTGGGCAGGGTCCAAAACCTGCATGTTACTTCGCGTAAGCAAGAAGAAGTGCACGAGCAAAAGGCGGCATAAGATGATGGCCAAGGAAAAACCTGTCACATGTGGCGCGTTTGCAAAAACTCCACCCGTTTAAGGTGGCGATACTTTGGTGGTGTAGACTATATGATACGGCATAGCAAGCCATGACTCGTTTGGACATGGCTGACTTGTGTGCGTCGCGGACAGGCGCTGTGAGGCCTGCCGCCTCTCAGAGAGGCTGTTTTCATGTTCGCGCAACTCCGACTTGCAAGGGAACTTAAAGTTTTAGCCGTCATCAACACGAAACTCGCCCATGTGGTCGTGCCACATGACCTGCGCAGCGACCAGATTCGGGCCCAGTGCGTGACGGAAGCTTTGCCTGTTTCCGAAGTGCGCAGAAGGCGTGGTGTCAGGTTTTCCAAAACCTGTCATGAACTGTTTGGGCCCCGCTTATTCGGGGTAGGCGTTGGCCCGATTGCTGCTCCAGGAGTTTCAAAGGTTGCCAAGCGCAGAGTGTCGCACGCGCATAAGTGCACCAGGACGGCAGCGGGTGATGCCCCGTTGTGTTGCGCGTGGCCTGCCACTGGCTGTGCCCGAACGAAGCAGAGGAATTCACAGGCCAAACGCATCCCTGCAAGGCATGTTAGCCGGCAACGCGAGCAGCCAGGGGAGCTTGACGGGGTAAACATACACAGCATGTCAGGCGCAACTTGATAGCCTCTTTTTATACGTGACCCCACGTCTTGGCTGGTGGGACATCCAGCCATTCTTGGCCGACAATTTTGTGGAGACTGCCTGTGCTTGAGCAGCAAGAGCCGAACAGCTGCAGCCATGCTCGGGCACAAGGCTTGAGCCTGGGGCATCGTAAGCGAGCAAGGCTGCGTGTGTGAGAACTGGAGTGCCCGCTTTTGGCGGCGCACTCAAGGCAGGTTCAGTTTTCAATGGCGCCCGAATTCGCGGATGGTGTGAACATATATGCGCAAATCGCTTACCCGAACAGCGCCTGCCCACACGGCGATGCTCATGCGCGGCAGCCAGAACAGGCCCAAGAGGCAGTTCCCGCTAGCGCAGCCAACTTTGCGTTGGATTGAACCTGACACATTTCCGTCAGCAGCAGTGGCAAAACTTGTTCAGCTCCTCTCAGCTTGTTCGGCTTCGAGAGCAACTATGGTAGTAGCAATTTGTATCTTTTTCCCCCTTCTCGTGTGCTGAAGCCATTTGACTAAGCGTGGTCGCCGAGGGTAGTTCATAGTTAGAGGGCGCCAAGGATGTCATTGCCATCGCCTTGAACTTGTCGCTGGGCAACTGATATTCAGGAAACTTGCCTCTATTTTGCGCCCGAAGAGTTGCAGGGATTGAGGACAGCAACTGGAAATGTGCATTGCCCAGCCCGAGCGACGTCCGATCTTGAAAACAACAATTGTAAATTGACTTAAGTGAACACATGCGGTAAGTGGTCGAAGTTTGTCAATTTTCGGCAGAAGGCATGTTTGGCCACTCACTGCTTGTACGATTTAGCACGTTTCGCCTCGCACAATCGCCGTTGCAACCTGCAGCTTGCGACAAGCGTCAGGAGGCAGACTTGACACCGGAAAGCAGAAGACTGCAAAGTCTTGAACCACGTCCCTGAACGCGCAACACTTGCTGAAGCAGCAAAAACACAAAATGCCCAAGCATGCTACCCCCTTCAAGACCGGGCCCTGTACCCCAAGCAAAGGTCCGCAAAGTCCAACGCGCACTCTGAACCTTGGCTCCCGCGAAGTAGCAGTTGGTCAAGCAACGGTAGCCGTGGCCATGGGCTATGCTTACACGCGTGGCCCAAACAATGCAGTGGGTCCCCGGAAGAACATGAAGGTGTGCAGCTTGCTGCTGCCTTCTTGTCGACAGCTGCCCGCCTGACCTTTGCAAAGCAATGCGCGAAGCGAGAATTGGCTGAGCCTCACGGCTGAGTGCGCGCACGGGCCTGCGCGCACCGGGGTGTCAACGGGCCCGCCCGTGCATCTTCGATTGGGATCCGTGGCGCAAGGCTGCCGCAGGTCACACCAAATCAAGATGCCCTGGCGATGCCGGAAGTTGCAGCTACTTGTCCGTCTCCAACTGGGCAACTGTGCAGTGACGCAGCACACCAACTGCAGGGCTAAACTTGGAACATTTGCGGAGGCTGGCAGACCCTTTGCAGACTTGCGCGTGTCCCTTGCCTTGGTTGGCTCGGGCACCTTGCAGCCTGTAGCAGAGACTTGTCCCTTGCGGTACATCAGCGGCTCTTAGAGATGCGTGGCTTCTACACAGAGACCTTGCTATCTTAGGCTAGACAATGGGTGGGCGCCCTCGAGTCAAGTCCTTATCGCTGCGGCTTTGGCTATACGCAGCATCCGTTGCCAAACTTTGCGCTGCAAAGTCCCCAAACTGCAAACAGAACCGTACGTCGCGAAGCTCCTGATGTCGGCTTTCAACTTGTTCGCGCTGCCTGACTTAAAATCCAGCCCAACAGTGGCCCCAACACCGACCCAAAACAGGCCCAAAAACATACCGCCAGAACCAGCGCTGCACGCTACATGCTACAGCCGCGTCCCCGTCAAAACCTGTCATCAACCTTGGAGTCCTCGCTCGTTGGGGGTAGGCGTTGGCTCGATTGCTGCTCGAGGTGTTCCAAAGTATGCCAATTGCAGAAGCCCAGTGTCGCACGCGCACAATTGGCCCACTATTTTGTGGAGACTGCCTGCGCTTGAGCAGCAAGTGCCAAGCAGCTGCAGCTTTGATGGAAAGCGAGTAAGGCGGTGCGTGTGAGAACTGGGAGTGCCCGCTTTTGTCAGCGGTTCAGGCTCTTGAGTTTTTGCTGAAGGGCCCAGAACTAGCTTTCAATCCCACACAGCGGTGCTCATCCGTGACAGCCAGAACAGGTGGCCCAGAGCAGGTGATCGGAACAGCCCGGGTGTGTGAAGAGCAGCCCCGCTCGTGCAGGCAACTTTGCGCTGGCTTGGACCCTGCACATTTCCGGCAGCAGCAGTGGCAAAACATGTTCAGCGCCTCTCAGCCTGCTTACCAAGAGCACTTCTGTAGTAGCATTTCGTGTCTCTTTCCCCCTTCCTGTGTGCTGACGCCATCTGTCACGGAGGGTAGTTCGTAGTTAGACGGTGCAAAGGATGTATTTGCCAACGCCTTGAACTTGTGACTGTGATTGATTTGCCCGCAAGCTTTCCCATGCAGTCTCGCAAGTCAGGTGCAATGTGCCAGATTACATGGCCCGTCTTCTACCTGGTGGGTGCCCACAACAGAAATCTAATTACACGTTCCACGCGGGCCAAAGAGCTTCCCGTGGAAACTCGGCAAATGTAGCGTGCAAAAGAGTGCCAGAGCCAATGGCTTGGCAAGGCATGGAATGGGAAATTGGGGCAAAGCAGGCCATTTGTTGATTGAGAAAACTCAGTGAGTTTGATTTCCTGTGTTTGACAATAGTTTCACGCTTGGAAGGGCGGGTTTTTGCTTTAAACTACTTGTCCAGGACAGGCTTGCTCTCAGCCAGGAATTTGGGAACGACCCCTCTAAACCATTCCTTTAGGCTGATCCCAAACAGTTCATTCCCAAACCTTCTTGTGTCAGGGATTTTGGAGCAACCCCCCAAACAGTTCATTCCCAAACCTTCTTGTGTCAGGGATTTTGGAGCAACCCTTGCAGGAAGGGTACACCTACCTCCGGACCTGTGGCAGATACGGGGACGAAACCTGGGTGCACAGGTCCTTCTGGCGGGATGCAACGTGACAGGTTTAGTTCCAGGTTGAAGTCTGAGTCTGATCCCATTTCTGTATGTGTGTGCGCGCTGTGGAAGGTAGTTTTTGGTTGTTTTACGTTTTGAAGGGGGGAACTCAAGGGACACCAACCATGTTGGGGGTTCACCTATTGTGACATATTGTGACACAAACCCACCATGAGCTTTAGACCACTCGAATACCAGTTTTTAGTTTTGACTCCAAGAGGTACAGACTCTCTTGAATGGCCAGCCGCTGAACCCCACCTGCATGACACAGCGCGGGTTCCCGCGGCCCGCCACATTGGACCCCTGATGCAGACGACACCGCATTGTGCCGGAGGCTGGCGAGATTTGTCAGTGGAAGCCGCGCTTGCCGGAAACATGGAGGACTCTTTTGCAGCGCTGCTTGGAGCCTCGCTTACCGAGCACAAGGGGCCAAGATTCTCCTCGTGCCTTGCCGCACAAGGAGATCCACTGAGAGGAGTGGTTCGCTTGGCTCTGGGCGTTGCGAGCTACAAAAGGCAGGTGCCGTATGCCAAGCACGCTTCTGTCTGAGGATTGTTTGTCCCCAACAAGTGCGGATATCTCGATGCACGTGCATTTTGAGGGCCGTGGAGCTTGCCACGGGAGGCAGCCGCTGTTGCAAGTGGATTATTCCTTGACCTGCGCCGGGGCAGAAAGCAACCAGGCATACTCCTTTGACTGCGGGGAGGCTTGGCAAGATATGCTTGCTGCAACAAAGCGTTGCAAGCGCGGGCCGGGAACAAAAGAGGCCGTCGCTGAACCTACAAACTTTTGAGCTGATGCCTCAAATCTTCCAGAGATGGGGCTATTCTGGGGCATCATATGTCATTCAACGAGTTGCCAAGAAAGCGGGGCAGAAGCACGCTGTAGCGCGGCTCAATGGAAAGATAGGGTTCTTAAGGCCAGGAAGAAACTGGTGCCTTTGCAATGGGAGTGACTTGCCAGGGTGAGTGGGTTTTAGTGCTTGGATGCGAGCTGTTGAGAAAGTCTGTCAGGTTTCGTTCGGCACGCAGCCGGCTTTCCCAAAACGTTCGGCCCGTTTTTTAAGGAGACCCGCATGAACCGACAAGAGCGTGCGAAGACGTGACCTTCATTTTTGTTGGACAGTTTTTCTTGTTGGTGCTCAGTAGAGAATGAAACGAGCCTAGGGATTCCATTTCTCATTCCCTGCCTATCGAACAAGCAGTTGTTCAAGCAAAAAAAGGCCAGCAAAGATATTGAGGGGGTGTCCACATTTGAGGCATCTACGACTGCTGCGCCCTAGTGCCCATGGTGGCCTGTGCCGGCGGGTGCATGACCGACTGGCAGGGCAAACCTTTGACACTACAGAGCCACGTGCCTTGGCGAAAAAAGCGAGGCTCAGACCTCCAGGTTGTGCCTTTTCTTTCTTTGTTGTTCTATTGGGCAAGTTGCTTTCTTGGTTTCGATGAGGTTCCACATCTGGAAACACTCGTTGGCCTACTCTGGATCAAAAGATAGGTCACTTTTCTGATTTTTGCCCTTGACTAAAATGATACGCGAATAGAATATTTGACTCCTAGGTTTAGGGTTCAACGTCATGTACTTGCAGCCTTACAATGACAAAAGCACCTTGAGGTAGAAAAGTTTGCAAAATGGGCTCCTGATTTTCCTTTTTCCAGAGAGACGAACAGGTTGACTGGGAGCAACCCTACAGCAGCCGTGTGATGTGGTTGACTCTCAAAACTTGGGCTTCAAATGGTTGGTTGCTTCCAGCTGCCCTTAAAGGTGGGCAACAACCAAATGGTAGGCAACTCATGTGGGGTCGTTTTCCCTTCTTCCTCAGTCCGCATGGGAAGAAGTCCAGTCTCAAGCATTTTGCACATCTCCCCATTGGGCTTCTCATGCCCCTTGTTTTCATCGCTTTGGTACTCTCCGACTCTCCTTGGCTTGGTTAACCTGGCTTCTGGCTTTGCTTGGTCTCTCAGTGTTCCCATATTTGTTACTCTAAGCACTCTAAGGGGAAAACGACACTTAGGATCCTTGATCCAGTCTGGCTTCCAGGGAGTGACCAGTGCGGGTGGCTGCTGGCAACCAGGAGCTGTAGAAGGCAGCTGGAAGACGGGACTTGCGCTTTGAGCAGTCACTTTTTGGGGGCCAGCTTCCCTTTACAGCACTGTTCATCGAGGGTAATTTAGAAAATTTTACTTGGTTACTTTTGAGTTCGGCCTCGCGAAGAAGTTTGTGACCTGGCCACTCTTCAAGTCTTTGCCAATGCGTTGCTTTGAACAAGCCGCCTGAACACGCCATCGCGCAATCACTGGAGTGTCGTCTGAGAGTGGACACAATATGCTAAACTTCGTGCAAACACACCCTGTTCGCCTTCAGTTTTTCTGTTCGAGAAATTGCGATTTCCGAGCTTTATTACATACAGAGTGGTGTTTATGCTTGAAGGAGGGGATCATGTTCAAGCAGCGCAAAAGCCAGGGTTAGTCTTCAGACTTTGTACAGATTGGTCACACCGCTTTAGGCGTGGGGGTCCTTAAAGCTCTCTTCTGGAAGCCGACAGGACCCTCCCCCCGTTTAGGTGTGTCCCTAATGTTAAGACACACCCAACTCTTTCTTGGAGTTTGTAGTGTGTCTTGCACAGGGAACTGTCTTTTCTGGGTGCCAGATAGACCAAAATTTCGTAATTGGCTCTGCAGCGACTCAAGCGCAGATGCGTCTATTTGGTGCCTTTCAAGGGGAGCCGAAAGGAAGACCACCAAGTGGGAGAGGTCCGACATTTTGACACATTCCCCTTTGCTGCGCACCACAAGGATGTCGCGCTGAGAGCGCGAGTGCGGCGCATGGCGCGTGGGTGGACGTCGGAGTCCGAAGGCGGCGGGCAAAACGAGGGCCAGGCATTCCCATGAAGATGTGCAGTGTGTAGCGCTGGGTCCCTGACATTGAACATGTTGGGTTGTCCGCAAAATTACTTTTGGGGGTCGCGTTGACTTGAACCACCAGCTTGTTAACTTCGATGTATAAACCCAAACGCGTCTGCCTTGGTGCCTCGAGCAAGACGGCGCTTGAACATAATTAATTCCAACTGGCCACAGAGTTTCACAGGTCGGTTGTGTTGCTCAGTTCCCCAGTAGCCGTGGCATCCCTTTTTGGGATGGGTTCATCTTGAAACCTAAACGGCCCAAGAGGCGCCTGGCTTTCCTTAACCACCACTGGGCTTCTGATTGGCTCGCTCCTAGATGGCCGAAGAATTCGTCAGGCCCGACTTTCTTTGGAGCGAGCTCCGATTCCCTTGCCGGGCGGGGATCCTTGATTTGATCGGAGTTTCACTGGGTCCCCGGATGTCATTTCATGGACCCAGTTCCAGAATTTGCGAGAAAAAGAAGTCGCGAGGTAGAGGGAGGGGTGGGGCAGCTAGTTCGGGTCCGGAACAGATCGCTGCATATTAAGTTGTGAAGCTGATACTTCGGACATTCAGAGCAGTTAATGTGTAAGTTTGCCCAGTGCGTATACATTCAACTACCGTCAACATGTGGGTGTTGCTCGTCCAAGCTAAGTTTCTTCCAAAGCGAGAAAGTTTCTAATAACCTAAATCCACCTTTTGGATTTGAGCCAATCCTTGGATTCAAGGCTTGGCCAGGGTCTCGTGGGACCAAGTTTGACCACCTGGGTGAGTCTGGCGCACTTTGTAGATTTGCCATGGTGGTATGGCGGGCAACGCCGCGCAAGCCAACTTGTCTTCAGGAGTCCTCTTTTTGGAAGACTCCGTGTTTCGTTCGAGCGAGTTGCGCTTATGGCTTGTCCTTCATCAGCACTGGTGAAGAAGGCATCTTCAGACCCGTGGCCACAGCCCTAAACTCCGGAAGGTCTCTGAGAATCTTTGCTGATTGGAGGGGTGGGAGGGGGGCTTCCTTGGGTTCCATTTGTTCTCTCACTTTTTGAGTTGATGGTCTTTGAGATTTTCGGGAAGATCCTCCCTGGTGGTAAGCAAGCTGTCTAGTTTTCGGCCAATCCACTGGATGAGAAGAAACTTTCTTTGGCGGGTTGGCTCATTGGCCCATATGCCGCTCCGGCTCGGCGCTGCGGCTACTTGAGGGCCCTCAGCCGTTGCCCTTCGGCACATGAACTGCCCGCGTGATGTGTTACGATATGTTGCCCAGACCTCCAGTGCTGCCATCTTATTGCTGGGTGCTACCTAGCTGATTTTTGTTGGCTTTCCCAGAAGGAATCCATGGCGAATCAATCAATTGGCCGCTGCTTTGCCACCGCGTCAACAAGTCCTTTGTGGCTTGAACGGGTATTTACGTACTTGTCTGTAGCCGTCTTGTCACGGAGACGCCATGCCAAACATGTTTTTTCCCGTTTGCATCCGGTTGACCTGTTGTTATCCGGCCCCAGTCGCTTTGGGATAGTCTAGGACCACTCCCGTGGCTTCAATCAAAGAATTGGGCTAGTCCCACAAAGCGCATTCTTAGCAAGTCACAGGCCATTTTTCCCTAAAAGCTTTAGATCAAGGCCTATGTGGCTTTCCTGCGGCATTTACACGTTTATGAATGTGTTACTTAAAGTTCAACTTGCAAATTCATGTAGCCATTCTAGCCATGATTTTGTGCGGGCAATCTCTCCATCGTGCCGATCCTACTAAACAACCATAAACTGAGGCTATCTTTGTGAAGAGTCATGTTTCTTGGTTTGCGCGGTGCCGGCACCTTTGACCAAAAAGGAATGTCAGCCCTGTGGCCAAGGCGATGCATTGTTTTTTTTGAAGTGTGATAAACTCTTTGGCGCCAGCATCGGGAAATCTGCCAAATGTACAGTGGACATGTCCAAGGTGATCAGGCTGTGCTTGATCCATGGATTCATACCTGCGAAGCCCTGTAGTGCATTTTTCGCCCTTTGGGGAAACAGCAAGAACTTTCGACGTTTAAGGGAATAAACGAACGACGTTTGGGTGGATTATCGCATTTTGCACTACCGTGCCCGCACCTGCATGCTTCCCTCAAACCGCGGCTCGAACAAAAAACAAGCAACTAACATCACTGAGGATTCAATTCGCCGATTGCCATTGTTCAGAAACACCAGGGCCTGTGTAAGTCAAACTGCCTAGCTACGATTCATCAAACATACCAGGGTCAAAACGCCTGGCCGCGATGGGAGCCTGGCGCCCGGGCGCCCGGTTTTTACTTGCATAGCTTTGCTCTGGCGCGCAGATGCACGGCTCTGGCCTTGACAAGAAACAGAATAAGGGTCCTCCGCAATTTGCAATCGCACATCCACTCGGCGAGCAAGCCTGCACACCCGGCCCACCAGATCCTCTCCTAGCTCATTGTTCCAGGCCAACGGATGGATCACGGCGGTGTGTTGCGCTTCTAAGGCTCTCTCCAAGTCTAGGATCAGGTGTCTATACGCATGGATTTTCGGAACCATCGCGAAGGTTGCAAGGCGTTGGTCAAAGGCATGCTGGGCCAGAAGCACGTAGCCATTCAAAAACGCAGTGCTGTACTGAACAAGCTGGGCTGCACTTCGGGGCTAACCAAAGGTTGTGCGCACACATGAGCCTGTAGAAATCATCGCCCGCTTGCGCTGTTGCACGCATGGTTGACAAGAGCCCATGGTTGGCAGGCCTTTCCGCAGTCATGATGAGCTCAGTGAGGAGGGTGTACATCCAGCGTAAAAGCAGTGTGGCGTCCGACCCCTTCACGTTGAACCACGGAAAGTGTTTCCACGATTTCCAATTTAAAAGGCTTTTGCTGAATGACCTCAGCGAAGGGTTCTTGCCAACTGCGGTGCACCACAAGCTAAAATGCCCATGGGCTCGAAGAAGTTTGACGTCGGCTGCCTGCCCATCCCCTGCTCCCACGCTGAAGTAGCCCAAGCTAAATAAGGTTACCAGAATACTTGCGGTAAAGTGTCTAAGGACACCTTGTTTTCCAATGTGAAAGACGTCCCTGCGATACAACATTTCTGGACGGGCTGAGTCCCCACTTTCAAAAAGAACCCTGTTCAAGGGAGGTTCAACCCACTCTTCACTCCACGGGCGTGAGGCGAAACAGGTTGTCTCCCAGCTAGGGTGTTCTGAAACATCCTCGTAGGGCATGCCGGGCAAGCCCGCGTGGCACTCTGCGCACATCCCTAAATCCCGTTTTCTCCCCTTTGTTGACCAGGTTCGGTTGAGATAAGCGATGCGGTCGAACCAACGCATGTCACCTTTGGATCCGATCAGTGTTATTGTCCAACATCGTCCATGAGCAAGGACTCCCTCATAGAACAACTCCCGCAAACCTTGTGCCACGACTGTCAGAAGTTCATCAAGCGCTAAGGAATAAGGTTTGTAGATCGAGCACGGCAAAAGCCACAAACAGAAGCGACTCAGGAAGCTGTGCTCTGTGTTGCATGTTGTCTGAAAAGCAAAGGCTTCTGAATGTTCTGGAGCATCCCGGAGAGAATTGCAAAACCGTTTCCGGATCGGTTCAGAAACTTCGCAGCTTTGACAGAAGCAAGAGTTTTTGCCCTCCCCTCATGTTCTTCGCGCTGTGGAATCCAAGAATGGCCTCCAGGGCAAAGAGCGCAGTTTGGCCACGACGGACTCCTCTCCCTTCGTCCCCGTACACTGCAACTGGGATAGAATACTCAAGGCTGCTTTCACCATCAGCTTGCTGAAATACCACATGTTCAGGGTGTTGTTGCTTGTACGCCATCCAAAATGATTTTAACGATTTTGCTGCTTCTTGAGGATCACGAAGGCCTCCCCAAAACACTTCCGGGCAGTGCTCGAGCAAGTACTGAACTAAACCCTTCGGGGCAAGGTATGGCAATGGGAGTATTTCACCATCTCCCTTGTGAAACTGGTGATAGCTTATAGGCACTTTCCAACGCAGCCCGGCTCTCTCCACCATCCTGCGCAGTGAGCGGGACGGGTGAGAGAACGGCCGCTTGAGGCCTGACTTGCCCAGCCCTTGCTGCAGATCGTGGGCCAGGTTGGCCACCGTGTTGGCGGGAACCTCAGGAGCAGCGAAGACTGTGCTTTGCCGCTGTGCGCTTGATGTGGGGGAGGTTCCAAATCGAACTTAACTCAGCGTTGGCATTGTTCAGACTACGTTTTCGTTAGAAGGGTCAATTTTAGAAGTTGCGCTGACGTGTTGCAGCTAACTGAGTTTTTGAAATCAACCAACGTGCGAGCGGGTGGCCCCATCAGCTAATGCTTCGGCAGCTGCTTCGCATCGAGAACCACCAGCGCCAGCGCGTGGCTGTTGCCCTGGCACGTGCCCCGTTGAATCGCAAAACCAAAAAAGCCAGCCTGAACTGTTGATGGTTCGACGCTTCAACCAGTTGCCCTTTGCAAAGACCGCTGGGCAATTAACAGAGTAGAAGGACACGGAGGGTTCCCAAGGCAGAAAACGATACTGCCTCCCGAAAACAACTGGAGGACGCTTCAATCAGTTGGCCTTTGCAAAGTCTGCTGGGTAATTAGCAGAGTAAAAGGACACAGCTTCAACGCCAAGACTCTTTGTCCAACCCCAAGACTGCATGGTAGCGCGGGAAGCATACTCGCCCTCGATGGTTACTGATAACTCTTGAAGCTGCTCCCTCAACAGCTCCACCTCCTCCTTAAAGGACTCCTGAGGGTTTGGCTTCAAAGGGCTTGAAATCTACTACTTGATCACTTGCGAGGTCACCCACCTTTTGCTTGAGTTGAGTGATGCGGTATGTGACACAACCCTGTTCTCATCGAACCCACACAAACGAAGAATCATGTTGATAAGTTCGAATGAAACGTTATTTGACTCAGCCATGCCTGCCCGTATTGAGTCCACATGTGAAACCATCAATTCGATGTCATTCGTAGTTTGTTTGTGTGAAACGCTATTTGCCCGCGTTGCGTGAACACATTTGGGAATTTAGTTTGCTGTTTTTTCTTTTGAATAAACCGTTGTTTGGCTCAACCCTGTCCGTACTGACATGTCGCGGAGCAGCACCCAGAATGGTCCCAAAACAAATCCCCTTTTTGCACACGCAACTGAAAATAATTTTGGTGTTCTTCTTGGCTAAGTTTGGGTGAACCGTTCATTGCCGCAACCCTGTCCGCACTGACATGTCTCAGGAAGCGCCCCCAAAACGGAAGCCTGATTTGACTGCACACAAGCGAAAATAAAATGGTCCAGTACGTTCAATTGAACAGCTATTTGACCAGACCCTTGCTGTGTTTGATCCGAAACATTTTTGATGTTCTTCTTGGTTGGTCTGAATGAAGCCCTATTTGCCCCAACCCTGTCCGTGTTGAAACCACGCATCTGGAAAATCTGTTCGATGTTCTTCCTGCTTTTGCCGCCCTTCTCAAAGTTGGCAATCACTGCAGCGCTTACCTTTGTGCCACCTTTTGCTGTGGGTGTCATCACCCTACGAAGTCTGCTCCTTATGGCAACCTTACTGAGGAGAAGCACGCCAGGTTTTGGCCTCTCTGCTTTGGTGTCCTGAATGTCGGGGACTGCATCTTTGGGCACATCGGGAACCTGAAAGATTTCATCTAGCGGTTCCTCATCAACTAGCGTCTCACTAGCAGTGGGCGAGGCCACGGAAAGCGGAGTGACTTGTTGTGTGACAGAGGGCTCTTTGGCAGGTTGTGGCGGCGCATCAAGCCGAGCGTTGCGAACGGGTGTGGGCAAAGGATGCACTGGTGCAGCGACAAGCCGTGAGTGGCTCTCCAAGGTCTCATCAAAAGCGCTGCCCAAGTTCTTCTTGAGTTCCTGCACAGCGCAGGGTTGCCCGTAACCACATTAGCAATGCGAAATGGAATTTCCCATGCAACTAATTGTGGAAGAGCGTGTTGCTATGTGTCTTTCGTTAGGATTCTCCACGCCCCGCAACCCTCTAGGTCCCCAAACCCTCTGGCACCCTGAGCTAGGTTGTCTCTGGTTTCTGAAATGACCATTGGCCATGCAAGATAATGTTTGCACAGTGCCCCAAGCGTCGGCCAAGCAGTCCCAGGCGTCCAAGGGAATGTCGTGACAATGCTCGAAGTTGCGTTCCCGCAAGCATTTGGGCATGTTAGCTTCAAAGGGATCATGAAGGGGATGTTTCGACAATGCCCTACGCTTGCTTTACAGTAGTT